GTCGGTCGCCGCACGAGTGGTCGGCTCTCCGGCTGGTACCGCTGGGGCTGAACGGGAGCAGAAGTGCTGGAGGTGGTGACTCCCATCTTCATGATCTCGCCGGCCGGGAAGAGGTGCTCGGTGGAGAGCGTGTCAGAGTGTGTCGGTAACTCTTCCAGTGTGCCGTCACCGCCGCAGCGCAGCTTGTGATCGAAGTCGCAGATCAACGTTTTCTGAAACACAAAAGTATCCTATGAGAGTACCGTCATTTCCTAAACTACGAACCAGGATCAAATGCCCACAAGCATATCACAATACCTACTGATCGATTTTGAACGATGCGAATAGCTGTGCGAATATCATAGCGTTGAAGGAGCAACAGCAAAAGAGCATACGGGTGTCTTACCTGGTGGAACTTGGATCCCTCGCCGCAGAGGAAAGTGAACCGGGCTCCAGAGGCTGAGCAGTAGTGGAAGACCTCGCAGTTGAACTCCGGGTCGGCAAAGTAGCCCTCGGCGCGGCACTGAAACCTGGACACGCAGAGGGATTCTCGGTCAGACAGTGCGAGCTTAGCTGGGACGACCACAGCCCACAAACAAAGGTGCAGTCTGGTCAGACAACAGCGGTTCCATTGAATCTTTTAAGCTCACATTCGGGGTCACTGTCTGCTCAGGCCGTAATGATATGTCTACTGGAAGACGCTCTAAAAAGTATACTAAAGGGACATGAAATCTTTGAAATCTTCCAGTCGTGTAAGTTCCGTCGCTCCCACGATATCTCAACATGAACTGGAAATGCAGTTTGGCCGGTGCCTGTATATCACTCGTATGTCGTATATCACTTGGCTGTCTAAGAGAAGCCTTCCGGCTTTCTCTACAAAAAAGCTCCAAATGACCACACCCTTGTAAAAGGGGAGATTCCTATCGCTCTACTCACCTGACCAGCGGCAGGATTTTGTCCAGCCGGCTGGGAGGGTTGGGCTGTGCGTCATCATAATAATCGTAGTCATAGTGCGGGTAGTCGTCGCCTTCCGGCTGAGCGGGCGGCGCTCCTGGCGGCACTCTCTCCTGTCGGGGAGACACGGGGTGGTCGTAAGGTTCCCACGGGCTCAGACGGAGTGATGGGCGCATGGAGCCGCGACAGTGTGAGCCGAACTATTACGAGTTGTGGTCAGTAGGTGCCTGCTCGTGGACGGCGGCTTACAAACACGTTTACAGAACGTATTTAGACAGATGTAAGCCGTGAGGGCCAGCGCGCACGCAATCACACACACATGCACGCATACATACATGCATGCCCACAAACAGTTTGACGCAGTCTTTTGATACAGCCAGATTTTCACAGGTAGACAAGTCACGACGTTCTATAACTTCAAGCCATCGGTGCATTGCCCTACGAGGATCGCTGGCGCCTGTCATTTCGTATCTCCCTGACCCCTCCCCTGGCGCCTTTCCTGTCAGTTTGCTGTCACCTCCGGCCGATCGGCGTCCCCCTCTGCCTGTTTTGACACCGATCTGCCTGTCAGCCAGCTGCGTGGGATGGACCAATGTTTCTGACACAAGTTCACGTTTGCTAGTTTCAATCGTGTCGTGTTTACGTGTGTGTAAACGAATCGTTACCAAGCCTATACGTTGGCGTGCGTGTTAAAAATCTTACTCTCCAAATCGCATGGCTCTTATTCTGATTCATTCATGACTAAGGCGTTTTGGACCAATCTCTGTCGGTCCGTGTCATTCCTAACACCTTTGTCATCATGCATCACTGCCATGAGCCTCGCCCTGACCTGCACACCCAGTCTACCAACCGTGACCTGGGGCGCGGCCCTGCATGCCGTGGCTGCTGGTGCGTGCGTCACCTCAAGGTAGACAGCGCGGCGCCGTGTCCGTGGGCCGCCCCCGGCCGTTTCCACACGATGCCTGCCGCCCCCGGCGACAGCACTGCGGTGCGCCGCGCGGCCCCGCCTCGCGCTGCGCGCTCAGTTGTGAAACAGCCCGCGGGGCCTGGGCGAGGACGCTTCGCACGCCGTCGGGGCTCCCAGCTGTTGACCAGTCGCCGCGGCTGACCGCAGAGCGTCGCAACACGCGGTGAGGGGTACGCATTCCAGCACACCATCGATTGCCAAAGATACGTAACCAATTTGGGAGCTGTGGGCATTGTAGGCGCGGCTCAACAGATGTCTGTGTGTCGAGGTCTCAGTTGGGAGCGGGAGGGAGTATTAGGCTCATTTGTGCGCCATGAAAGAAGACTGTGATGTCGTCATGCCGTGTTGATTTAGGGTTTCAGTAAACCGATTGACTGACCACATGGAGTCTTTGGACATGTGTTTGTTCCCATCCGTCCCACGCTTATCCCGCGCCCTGATGGGGGCCATTTTGGCCCCCCTGTGGTTTTTCTTAAATAGCGAGAAAACGGCGGCGCGCAGCGCCGCCAAATTTTGGGTACCTTACCGGACATCAATTTGACACCTTCACACAAAATTTCAAGTCACAGGTCACCTCAGGTCAGGACTTATTGAGGTCAAACTGAGGTCATGTTCGAGTAAAAATGAGCAAAAAACATGACATTTTGAAACGCTCACCAATTCTACAGTTAACAAGCAATTTTAAAGTTCTTTATGTGGTTGTGTAGACAAAAAACGGCGCTACAAAACTGCTATCTCGGATTTTCGAAATTTTGGAATTTTAACCCCCAAAAATGAAAAAAAATGATTTTTTTAGAAAAACTCAAAAAATTTCCATTTTTTTTTTGAATTTCGAAAAAAAACCGGGATATATGTGATAGTCCCTGCGCTCTTCGATATACATACCAAATTTTAGATCGATACCTCTTTTTTTGGCCAAGTTATAGCGAAAAAACTGTTAAAAATTGATGACGTCAAATTTTTGAACTCAATTTTTAGCAATTCTAGACCTCGTAGCGCAAAACGGAGACCATCACTGAACTCCCCGTGACGAGCTGCATCGAATCGATACCCATTTTATGCAAAAATATCAACTTTGAAATTTGACCTAATTTGACCTGACCTTGACCTGACCTTGACCTGACCTTGACCAAAACGTGACCTAAGCTGGCCCTGAAGTCTGTCTGACCCACATAATCGCATTTGTCATGTAAAATGGACCATAAAACATGTATCACACGACACTTTCATATTGTGACCCCCCAGTGACCTGACCTCTGTGACCTGACCTGGTATCAGTGACCTCAAATAGCAAAATATGTGTTTGAAGAACATTTCTCCATCGATGATTTTCAATGAAATGCATTTTACACGATTTTACAACGCATTTCTTGAAATGCCTGTAAACGGTGAAAATTCGACCTTTGACCTGACCTGTGACGTCATCGGTTTGACCGAGGTCAATGAAATTGGGTCACAAGGTAGTTCCCCGTTGGGGCTATCCAACACCGTTAGCGCTTGTCGCTATGTTGCGTGGTTCTCGAGATCTGAGGGGGGGCCAAAATGCCCCCCCCCCCATCAGACCGCGTTGCTCGGCAGACCCCATCTGGGCGCGGGTTAACAGTCGAAGTGGTTCGTGGGAAAACGCTTTACCGTATTTATAAACGAGCTATAGTTCAAAATCTTACACTTTATTCGTTCCGATTTCGTCGAGTGTGATCCAGTGGTCCAGAACAGACCCTCTCGTCTCCTTCCCGGCGGCGTCAGCTGCGGACAGCGGAGCACTGACCGCTGTTATCTGTCGACCCGAGTGTGAAGCCCTCCTCCTCTGCCGCCTTCGGTAGCCGGCGTGCGAAAGTGACCCGAAAGGCGGTCATGTTCTGCCGTGGCCGGCGATGAAGGGCCGCCGCGGACGGACCCGGTGCCATTTGGGTCAGCGTGGAGAGACGTCTGTCCGTATGGGGGCCGACGGTCACGGCTCACCGGAGCCGTCTCCGGTAGGCCGGTGAACGCCCCCGATGGTGGTCGGCTCGAGAATAGTGACAGTGGATGTCGGACCGACGAGAACCGAGAGCGGGAAATGATTGTCAGACCGGCTGCAGGCTCGAGAGCAGTGACAGTGGCTGTCGGAAGTGGAGTGGTGGACTGGTTATCATACCTTCCAGACTTTAGAGCAGTGACAGTGGCTGTCGGAAGTCATACGACTGCAAATACGGTCCCAGAACTGTCTACCCTTATTAGCAGCCGACAACCATACGGAGACTAGTCTATCCATATCAGTTTTTGATACCGACTGACTGCTGAGAGTTTTCCTACAGCTGCCGACAGCGGGTGGCAATACCGAGTGACTACAGCAGCTATCAATGTCAACGTGAGGGAGAAGTCCTAGCAGCTCAGTGCTGCCGACGTGCAACTCATGTGGAACCAACAGGGAATCCAACGTGGACCTGCGAGAGAAACTACCGCAGCTACCTGTGCTACCCACAGAGGCTCAGTAGTATCCAGCAACCAGTACCACAGCAGCTGCCAACACTGCAGCGCCGGAGCTCTCGGCTAGACCCTAGAGAAGTCGCCGTTTGCCGAAACGGATTCGGATCACTGCACCGCCTACGGCCCCGCGAGCAGAGAGCACGCTCCACGTGATAAGACCCTTGCAACTGGCGCTGCTTCAGTGTGCCATGTGTCGACGGCGCCAACGGCGCCACCATTTGCGCCTCATGCATTATAACGGCATGCTTTGAAAACTCCAGCACTCAGCAGCTCGTGATTTCATGGTGCTGTGCCATGTGCAGTGATCCGTGGAAACTACTGATCCATTAAGTATTGCCTACATAGCACAAACTTGCGCAAATGTGCGCTAACTCAGGAATATGAATTTGGATCGATGATGTATTTTTGCTTCAATGTGTGTGTTAGAAAAGAAGCTGACAACCTCGCAATACAAGATGTGGCTGGTGGAGAGACCAGCCCGCGGCTGATAACTGGAAGTAGACTGGCCCACAGCACGCTCCGGTAAACACTACCTAACGGCTATTTATCGATGCTTCATCTGATTTACGAAGAGTTATGAGTGCATATGTAGATGATGATGACCCCCATGATGTGGTGAATGTTCCACTTACCTCGTGGTATGGTAGAATGGGGCGGTCCCGAAACCGATCATCACCTTGCGCCAACACCGACGCGAGCACAGCAATACCTGTGAAGTGATAACCGAGTCACTACACTGCTGAGATATTACACATTTGGTTTATTCACGGCCAAACTTTAAACAATACTAGAATGCCAAACTGGTAATCGTTGCGAGTCACAACGATATCTAAACTCATGTCGTCCCCATCACTGAGGTTGAGCCAATGGCCAAGTCGTTGACGTCTTGGCATACGAGTAACTACACTCTCACCATTTATTACACTTCCGCATTGAACCTGTCCTATTTCGCTGAAACACAAGCTAAAAGGAGGTCTCAACTTTCATTTTTTAATTCAAACAATAGAGTTTTGGCAGTTGGCACACCCACACAGAAATCGGTAATGACTCCGCTAACTCTCAGAGGTCTGAGTCATCTAAATCAGACCGTTTCACGCCAAGAACTGCCTCGTCACGCTTCTCTGTCTTGCGATAATGATGACAAAAGCTTGTGAAAAGATTGTGACACAGATGGTACGGCGGCACCCCATGCTTGCGCCAGACGTCTGTGCAGATTTCCGTTCCGCGCTGCGCAGAGGTATCTAGTGCCTGACTGACTCAGATCTGACGCATGTCCCACTACCACTCATTGGAGCAGGGATGGGCAGGAAATGTGCAGGGTCCGTGGAGTGAGTTATTACGAGTAAAGTAGAGGTGGTCGTGTTCGTGGGAAGTTGATCGTTATTTGCGTGACCCTCCGGTGAGTACGCTAAATCTGCAATAGGTGACCGGTGATGTGTATTTGGATGGTGTATGCAGATGGTGTATTTAGCAGTGGAGCTAATTTAGCAGCGCAGTATGTACGAAGGCTGTGCTGCTGTGCAGAATGGGAGACTGGAACAATAGGCTGGTGTATACCACGGGTGATTACAAAAGGTAACACCAGCGGCTACATTACGTAGCAAACGCATTTGACTTGAGATAGTGTAACAGACAGATAATACATGCATACCATGTATTCATAAACTGCACTTGCAGTGCACCCTCAACGTATCTTACGGTGAAGACTTAAGACTGGGGCACAACGAAAAAGTAGCAGGAGACTACAATACCTGGTGAATGCATAATAACAGCGACTACATTTTGCGGGCGTGCTCGTAATAGAGGCGCGAAGTATGGAACGAAGGGGAGAGTTGTTGCGGGACACCAACACATATTCCTATTGAAATCAGCGTCCAGCAGTGACGTAAAGTTGATTTGTCACTTCGAAATCCGATGAGTCATGCTACCGACATATTGCATTAGTCTGTATAAGTCTGGTGTTGTATTAGTCTGGTGTTGTCTGGTATTGTATTGCATTAGTCTGGTGTTATGCTCCAGCCACCTTTTGCAGTCTTTAGTGGTGTATATCAGCCACTTATCGCATTCGCCGGTGTTATGTATGTACCACTCACCTATTGCAGTACCTATCTGGTGTGTTATTTACCAATTACTCATTGCAGTGCCTGGTGTTACATACTAGCCACCAATGACGATCTCTGGTGTTATTTACCAACTTATCGTTGCAGTCCCTGGTGTTACCTTACAGCAATTTATTGCAGTCTCTGGTGTTGTGTACCAGTCACCTATTGCAGTCTCCGGTGTTATATAGCAATTACTTATTGCAGTTTCAGGTGCTATATACCAACCACCTGCTGCAGTCTCTGGTATTATCTAGCATCCACCTTTTGCAGTCTCTGGTGTTATACAGGGTGGGGCAGCATAATCGGGAATGCTTTTTGGGCTCTGGTCATGAGTAGGCATGGCATTATTTTGATAAATTATATCATGGCAATGAAGCGCCCAAAAGTTGTGCATCATCTGACAGGACTACATCCATGAGCATGCAACTTCCTGGAAAAGAGCAGCAAAATAGTTCGACGGTGCTCCAAGTGCTTTGCGCGCGCCCATAGACACTAATGTTTAACGAGTAAAACAAGAACATTTTGTTTAAAACAATGCCATTCCACGTAAAGGTTGCTGGACAGGTCAACGTGTTATCACGGACGATAAGGATTGTGTGGGGATACTTAGGACAAAAAGTTAACGTAATCGTCGTAAAATAACTCTTAGCAGAGGACATACAAGATGACTCACTTGAATATAAGGAAGAAGCTCTTGAGCATATTAAAAAGAAACAATGTTCAAAACTTCAACGACCAAAAATCTTATCACCGACTGGAATACGATAAAAAAGAATGGCATGCCATATGGGGGATTGTATCGAGAATATTGCAGCGGTCATGCAAAGTAAACATCCTGTTGAGGTGATGGACCTATGGGTGGTCTTCAAGGGAGGTGCACGTGGTGCACCCTACTTCATCGAGCCCAGATAAAATGAGCACCTCTGGTAAATACATCCGCACTCTGGCAGACTCATGTGGAGCCGTCGGAACAGAGGATCACTGACGGTCCAGATCACGTCTTACGAGGACTCTGTCCGTGCTGGTACTGCAGTGAGGACGACATGTTATTGTGTAGGGCACCTCCACCTGAGATGAACCAAAAACTTCTGGTCCTTCAACTCCGCCGATTTAAATCCGACCAAATTCTTTACATGGAGCGTTTTTTGGTAGAAGGTTAATGAACAACTTATCATCAGTAAAGACGGTCTTCAGAGCAAGGTACGAAGCTGATGGGCGATCATGGACAAGCAGGAGGTTGCACGTGCATGCGCGTGCTTTTGGACCCGCCTTGAGAAGGTCATCGACGCGAAGGGCGGTCAAATAGGATGAGGGATAGGTAAAAGGTGACCGATTGATGGGATGTTGTTAAAATAGTGCTTGGAGCTATATTTTTAAATTAATGACCAAATAATCCCGTTTGATATTTATTCCCGATTATGCTGCCCCACCCTGTACACCAATTCATTGCAGTCTCTAGTGTTTCACTGGCGGATCCAGGGGGGGGCCACCGGGGCCATGGCCCCCCCCAAAAGCCTGAAAGGGGGGGCCAACATATCTTTTGGCCCCCCCCCAAAACGCTTGGAGAAAAATTAATGTGAGAAGGTTGCGTAGTAGATACCTACTAGAATCAGCAGCGTGATTCAATAGCGTAGAGAAAGTCAGGGGCGCGGGAACTACTTTCAGACTGGGGGAGCACACCATAATAGAGATCAACCTAGGGTCCCCCCAAATCTAGTTTTCTCACCGGTTTTAGGCCACTTATTTTTCATCCCTTGGCTTTTTCAACAAAAAAAAAGAAACAGTTGCAAAAAAGGACGGTATTCCGTCTGAAAGTTGTGGGGGCACCGCCCCCACTGGCGGATCCAGGGGGGCCACCGGGGCCATGGCCCCCCAAAAGCCTGAAAGAGGGGGCCAACATATCTTTTGGCCCCCCAAAACGCTTGAAGAAAAATTAATGTGAGAAGGTTGCGTAGTAGATACCATAATCAGCAGCGTGATTCAATAGCGTAGAGAAAGTCAGGGGCGCGGGAACTACTTTCAGACTGGGGGAGCACACCATAATAGAGATCAACCTAGGGTCCCCCCAAATCTAGTTTTCTCACCGGTTTTAGGCCACTTATTTTTCATCCCTTGGCTTTTTCAACAACAAAAAAAAAGAAAACAATTGCAAAAAAGGACGGTATTCCGTTTGAAAGTTGTGGGGGCACTGCCCCCACTGGCGGATTCAAGGGGGCCACCGGGGCCATGGGCCCAAAAAGCCTGAAAGAGGGGGCCAACAATCTTTTGGCCCCCCAAAACGCTCGAAGAAAAATTAATGTGAGAAGGTTGTGTAGTAGATACTTACTAGAATCAGCAGCGTGATTCAATAGCGTAGAGAAACCCAGGGGCGCGGGAACTACTTTTAGACGGGGGGGGGAGGTCACACCATGATAGAGATCAACCTAGGATCCCCCAAATATAGTTTTGTCGCCGGTTTTAGGCCACTTATTTTTCATCCCTTGGCTTTTTCAACAAAAAAAGAAAACATTTGCAAAAAGGAGCGGTATTCTGTCTGAAAGTTGTGGGGGCACCGCCCGCACGGCCCCAGAGTTGGGGGGGGTGGGGGCAAGCTGCCACCACTGCCCCCTCCCCCCGGTTCCCGCGCCTATGGAGAAACTACCGGGTTTACTAGCTTCCTTCATAAAGTGTCGTCATGTCTTATCGTCACCCGAGAAGGTCTTATTGCATAAATATCGATTGAGCTGTCAAGTTAACAAACTTGCTGTGGCAGCCTCACCTGACATGACCCGGTAACTTTTCATTCACGGAATATGCGCAATAAATTTTTTAGGAAAACTCCCTGAGTTTTCGTTGAAAAAAAAAACTTGTTTTGTTTCGTAATTGTACAAGAAGCATATGAGGGACCTTTTTGTCCCTTCCTGCGAAACGGTAAAAGACTTATTTCGGTCACAGCTCAGGCCAATCTCTAAGGGTCAGTCGGGTCACTTATTTCTTAAAAGGGTCCTTACGGCATCCAAGGACCAATTCCGGCTTTTGAGTGCGCCACATCAGCATTTGATGCTACGACAGATGTCGAAATCTGAATATATGTTACAGGCCGTATGAAAATTCGGTCCGTTTGCAAACGGCCTGGCCCAGTCAGGCCATATGAAACTACCTGAAAACACCGGCCGTTTGCAAACTATGACCTGAAATATCAGACCGTTTGAAAACGACCTAGTTAGTTTCGGCACGGAATATATAGTCTACGACACGTCTACGACACGTCACTACGTCTGTCGTAGACTATATATTCCGTGGTTTCGGCCTAGCGGATCCAGGGGTCATGCCCCCAAGCCTGAAAGGGGAACAACATATATTTTTTGTCCCCAAAAACACTTAAGAAAAATGAATGTGAGAAGGGCGTAGTAGGTAGAGAGAAAATACCGTATCATTAAAAATCTGTGAGCTTGATAAAAGTGTTGGTCTTGTCTTCACCCAAGAAGTTCTTATTGCACACTTTAACCATGGATGAAAGAACCTTCATCCCCTGGTTCTCCTTCATCCATGCTTTAACTCTCGATCGACGTGTGAAGTTATCGTGTAAGGTATCATGAAGCCGATCGCGACGAAACTTTAGTACCCT